TTATTTACTATTATTTAATATTATTTACTATTATTTAATATTATTTACTATTATTTAATATTATTTACTATTATTTAATATTATTTACTATTATTTACTATTATTTACTATTATTTACTATTATTTACTATTATTTACTATTATTTACTATTATTTACTATTAATTTCTCACAATACTTCTTAAGCCACCCTTTCCTAACGCGAACAAAATTTTCGATAGACATTTAATAAAAAGAACTTGAGAACGTTTCATTTTTTAATTTACATTAAACCAGTACTATATTGCATAAAAATAATAAAAATGGTAACCTTGAAAGTAATGCCATATTGTATTATCTTGGTATTATCTTTGTATTATCTTTAAAATCTCATAACAATACTGGTTTGTCGAGAAAACATGTAAGGATTAACATGTAAGGATTACTCGAATCATTCATCACGAAAAAGACGTTATTAAAAGAAATCGAGAATTAAAGTTCCCTATAAGGTTTGAGTATGTCCTACGTACGTACGTACGTACGTATATACGTTAAACCCGAATTTGGGCATAATATTTGGTATTATTGCTAATTCAAGACTGGTCATGGCGTTACTACCATATTCGGACCAATATGATCATTGAAGTATTAATAAATTTTAGTGTTAAAAATTTTGTGTACGTATTACGTATTTATAGTTATTCATAGTTATTCATAGTTATTCGTAGTTATTCGTGTACATCGACATACAGAGTTGTGTGTCATAACTTAATAATTAAAAACATTCGAAATTCGAAGAACGAATAACCGATCGATCTAGTTACATAATAACAATAAATTGGTTGAACAATGGCAAAGCTTATTATTCTTTTGCGATATAATCTTATTGTTACTCGTTTCATAAACTCATATGAACAATAAATGTCTTATCAAATTTGTATTATCTTTATGGTTTAAAGCATTAATAGTTAGTCGTCACATGCTATTATCGTCTATAAAAGTTTTTATACTTTATACGTAGATAAATTATGGGCCTTTTTAAAGTACAACTTCCCTGTTACGGCGGTTACTTAGATAGGCAAGTCGAAACTTATGCCTCGTGACTTGCCTATCTGAGTAACTGCCGTAACGGGGAAGTTGTATTTTAAAAAGGGCCTATGGTTTATGCTCATGCTAAATAAGGAGGTGAATGAATCTGATTAAAGTTAGAAAATGTGGGTTATCCCCGTTCATGTTTATGATAATATTAACATTTACCACTACGTAGAACAATGCAAAAAACCAACAATGTATAATCTTAATGTAAACTTAATATGTTACAGCGTAGAAGTTATAACCTCCAAAATCGTAACTGTAACAAATGAGAATGTTTTTCAATATTAATTCATTACTAATTCATTATTTAAATCATATCTAAAACAATACTAATAAAATTTTGATATTAAGAAAATAATGCAAAATATGGTTACTGGCAAAAAAAACCACTTGTTTACTGGATCATGGATTTTATATATACGTTAGAAATGATTTTTTATATATATTGCTCTCGTTCTTGCCTTAAACAACATTAACTTACCTCATACCTTTAGTAACATTAAATTTACCTTTGAAAGATTCCAACTAAGCAAATATTTGAAAGATTCCAACTAAGCAAATCTTTGAAAAAAAAACATCATGATTGCAGTTATCACAGGTATGTAGTTTTCAAAATACTGTAATAATTTATTATATTCAATACAACTTAAAATTGTAATCCCTTCTTTTCTCGCAATTAGACATTTGCTTATTACACATATTCTATTGCTTTCGTCCACTTATACAAATAACAATGTTACTATTCTTCATGACTTATGTTTTTTGGTATCTAAGTAAGCATTTTGAACATATTTAATCATGAATCAATCTCATAACAAGAAAGAACATTCCTAACCGCTCACATATTCATTATTTTTTTTATTATTCAGAATTAATAATCGAACTCATGACAGGTCTGCCAATATCCACAATTTTCAGACCAGTACCAAGTACACGAAGAGTAATAAATATTCACCAACGACATCAACAAGACATAAACGACGCAGGACGTCGTGATTGGAATTTTCGATTTGAAAATGTGGTTCGATCATTATGGATACCACTTAGGGTACTTTAAAAATATCAAGGTTTCAAAATATCAAGGTTTCTTTCGATCATTATTCCCACCAATCTTTTAGATGGTAAAGAAGCTGTGCTTCCTCCACCAATCTTT